AGCCGTCCGGCGAGCCGTGGTTCCGCCGTGTGTTTTGGCGATAAGGTGTTGGAGATCTTGGGGCTTGTGGTCTTGGGCTCAAACCGCTCCTTCCTGCGGGCCGGAGCCCCGGCGCGGCTGGGCCCCGAGCGGGGAGCCGTGCCCCCCCGGCTGCTCCCCGCGCTGCCCCCGGACCCGGCTGCCGAGGGCTCACTCTGCTCCGGGGCTTGTAAACTTTCCAGAAACCCTCGTTATTTGTAGATCTAAAAATATTTTGTGTATGGGCACTAGCCACTTGTTTAACTTTCTCTCCCTCTGAACTCCGCCCTTCCAAAACACACCGGTTCGAGGTGGGCAAAATTCCCTTAAGAGTCAGGCTTTGGGTTGGGCGGCAGCGGCAGCGTTGGATCTGTGATCTTCGTTCTGTACAGTGTGTTGTACTCGAAAAAGCACTTAAACTTGCAAATGCATTTAATCACACAAATGAACATAGTTGCAATGCGTTTGTAGCTCTGAGCCCAAAGGAAGGCTTTTGGGGGAATTGTTCTATCTTACTATTTACTAAATCTTACTGGCTTTCTATCAAATGTTTTCATATTTTTGAAGATGATGTTATCATTTAAAGGTCTCTAAAAACATTTACTGGAGTATTTTGCTGTTAGTTTTGTTGTTCCCACACACACAACTTCTCTACATAGTCCAGTTATATTGATGTCATACTGTATTTGCTGTTTGCTTTTTTTGGACTTAGATATCCAATTCATACAAAATTAGTGGGGAAAAAAAAAAGAGATCCCTTGGCTATAAATTTTGTCCTCTGGAATCGGTGCAGGTCATCTTAAACGGTCTGGTGCTTTTTGCTATCAGTTACGTTCATGGCAAGGTCAAAAGCAAACATAAAGTCCTTTTTCTCTGAAGAGCAGCCTGTAAATACGGGCTGGCAGAAGAGAAACCTGGGAAGTTGACTGTTCAGGGCTGTGCTGACAAAGGAATGTCCTACCCTGCCTATTGACTTCCAGAACGTAGCTAAAACAGTTTTACAGAGGAGAGAGAAGAAAATCTCCTGTGTATTTTAGTGGATATAATATAAAACAGGCTTTAAAGGAACGACAGGGAAAGCACTGCTTTCCCTGTTATTCAATACTTACTTGCTGGGAAAGTTTACCCTTTTGTTTTTTAAACTAATTCAAAGGGATACTTAGGATTGAAACAACTAGCAAAACACAGAAATGTGAAGTTAATGTTGACAGTGTGATGAAATGTCTTCTGGGTGGGTATTTTGGGAGCTCTGGTGTGTTGCATCACACAGCTGGTACTGGCGGGCCTGGAAACACTCTTGCCCTGCCCTCATTAAATATTGAAACTTTATCCGGATAAGGTAAAAAGGCTGCTTCAGCTAGAGAATGCATTCTGGGTCTACTTTAAAGTAGGTATTTCTATATCAGTTAAAAATTAGTTCTTTACCTCTCCAGGGCAGAGGGCAGTAGCCTGTGTATCCAGTGTCTGGTGTGACTAATCACAGCTCCCTCTTCCCAGCCCAGGGAGCACCCTTTGGTGCTGTGCTTCCCGCTGAGCACCCTCGCCTTGGTGTGACTGCTCCTGTCACCGCTGCGCTTGCTGTGTGCCATCCTCCCAACACAGCTCCCAACAACAGAGACAGTCGGAAGCGGTGTTTGTGTGTCTCCTAGCAGTCAGGAGAAAGGCCTGGTTTGGGGAAGCGCGTTGAGTGTCGTGGAGTGGTGGCATCTGTGTGCTGCAGGACCAAACGCAGGCTTTCCGCTTCTCAGAAAAAAGAAAAAAAAAAATCAACTTTTGGGTGACCTGGAAAAATGAGAGAAAATGAAATTGAATGCCTTGCTTGTCTGTTTTCCTTTTTATTTTTTTTATTTTCTTACAGTGCTAATCCATTGGATTTATTAAATACATAGTAACCTGTGTTATACAAAGCTTCAAAATATACTTACAGAAGTCATCAGGTGGCTAAGTAATGCCCTTGTATTTTTATCTTACTCATCCTTTTTGTTGGCAACAACATCGGAAAGTGAATACCTCAACATTTTTTAGGTGGCCTGACTAAATAAACAACATAATCCACAAATACGTGCATGTGTGCACACAAAAATCAAGGCTGACATTTACTCTTTATGTAATACCTGAAGAATCACTTTAATGCACGACAGGAATGGCACATGCTGAATGAAGCCTGAGGGTGTGGGAGCCCATGAGTAAAGGGCCAGAGCCCTGGTGGGACACTGCCCTGTCACCGTGTGACCCCCCTCACACCCACCGTGTCCATGGGGAACCCCTGGAAGGTTGTTCTCACTGCAGCTCGTGCAGTTGAATTTCATCTGCTGTGTGTGGGGAGGCTTTGTCACCCGGCCGCAGTGCGGGGGAAAGGGGAGAGAAGAGGAAGGAGCCGCCTGACAGAGCTGTGGTCCCTCTGTGGGCTGGGGGCCAGGCAGCAGCTCCCACGCTGCTCCTGAGGCTTCCGCAGCTCTCCGTAATAGCGTGATGGCTCTAATTCATTGCTCTCGGTAATCTGGGGTTTTAAAGACACATTTCTCTGTATTTGAGAAAATCTTACCCAGAAATTTTGATTATTAACCAAAGTGTAATTTAAAAATACCCCACAGCTTTGTTCCATGGAGTGTTGTATTCTCCTGAGGGGCATGTAGAATTCTTTTATTAGGCTATATTGTTTTATCATGGAAATATATCTCATAAATTCCATTTTAAAGCCCTAAATTCCATGTTTCTGTATTTTAAAAAGACGTACAATTAGATTAAACTAGCAGACCTATGTACCAAAATTAAAGTTGACCTACAGTCCTAGCCCATGCTGCACTAAGGCTGTTGTTTTGCATCACTGAAATATAAATCTGATTTGGTGGAAGAGGAGCCTTCGGAAGTTTGTGTGTGTATAAAGTCCAGTTCTATCTTAGTGCAAATTATCTATTCTGAGCTTACTCAGAGTTAAGCGTGGAGTCTATCCTGGGTCATGTGTTCATAACCTGAAAAAGTTTGTGTTTGAAACACACTGATGGATGATGTATTAATGTTTCTCTCAAACAAGAAATGTTCCATCAAGGTGACTAATAATTAGTCATAAGAATTAGTCTTTTTGACTGAACACTGGCATCCTGATTTATTTTTTCCATTTTGTTAAACCTGGTTTAAAACAATTTTAAGCTGAGTTACAACTGAGAGAGCCTAACGTGAGCTGTGTTGAGGGCTTAATCGTGCTCTTCTGAGAACTGCAGTGTGGATTTCAGAAGCTGAAATGCGGTAATGTACAAAATGCTTCAAGTAGAGAGGAGCACGGAATGACTTGCTTTCTGTGCAGCTTTTTGAATCTTCTCAAGTGGGTTCTCAGACACAGTGTGGCAACACTGAAGATTTTTTCCAAAAACCTAATTTTACTGTTTTCCAAATTGAGGAATAACAGTCTAAGTTATTAGTAGCTGTGCAAAGGTTAGGTATGATTAGCCACAGTGATGGTGACATAAGTAGTGTTAGACATCGGGGTCTACTTTTCTGTGCTAGTTTTATAATTTCAGCTTTCCACCCAAATACATTGTTATCCACTCTTGCAAGAGTGCCTGCAGGATGTAAACTCGAAACTACAGGGAGTCTGTGCATTGCTGAGTTTATTCATACCTGCTGAGCTATTGTTTTGTGAGGTGTGTCTTTAAGTAAAAGGCAAAGCGAGCATTTACAGGAAGGCACTTTTACAATGGCTGTCATTTGTTTTGAAGATTAAGGTTGTTTATATGACTATCAGGAACTGCGGAAGATATAATACCTGTAGACAACAAGGGGAAATACACGGCTTGTTCCTCTTCACTCAGCTCCTCGCTGGTTAACTCTCAGTGGTTTCCTGGGGTGAAAGGCAGACAGCAACTTTCTTACTGGGTTTATAGGGGGATTTAAGGACTTGAATGACTAGAATAGGTTTTTCTTACGGTTTTCTTTGGAAGGTCACTTTTGCCAACTCTAGATTTCTCTTCATAAAAAGATGTTTCCAGTTGCCTATTTTGAAACTGCTTCCCTTTATTTCCATTCATCCTAAATAATAGAAAGCTGTAGGATCTGATCATGTGCCTCCTCTTCTCTTCCAGTTAATTATTCTGTTCATGAGAGGTAGTGTGTCACTAGAATATAGGACACTAGATTGACAATTAGGAGGCCTGGTTTGTGTTCCTCACTGCACAGGCAGATGATGTGTCGTTGTGAACTACTTTGACTCTCCCAGCTTTTGTCTTGCTTTGTGATGTCTATTGGGAATAAGACAAAAGTTTTATTCCCATGTCTTTGTACAGCATGGCAGAGAAAAAGTTTGATATTTTCTGAGACTTTTGACAATTTTAAATTAGTGGTTCTCTTGATCAGAAATTCTTTTTTCATTCCTCTGTCACTGTTTTTGTAGAAGTTTTGAGATCTGGCTTTAATGTATGACTTCACAAACCATTCCAAAAATCAATACTGCAAGACCAATAATTATAATGTTACCGTTAGAATTTTTGAGTAGGTGGCAGTCAGGTTTCACTCCCTGCTCCTTGCAGCAAGAACTTAGGGTAAGCAGGGACAGGATCTGTCTTCCAAGAAAATAATTTTCAGTATATGGTGGCAGTTCAAGGTGACATTGGGATTCTTTCCTGCCACACACATACACAGCTTCTAGGTCAGGTACATCTTTCTTCTCCCCCATATCCCTGGAATGCAGGATCAATAGCCCAAGACAAGACTCCACCTGTTTTTCCTTGTGATTCACTGGCTCCTTAACATGCCAAGAGACATCTTCAGCACGGCACTGGGAAGAAAGGGCAAAAAGCTAGAATAGAAGAAGCCAATTTACCCCCTGGACCAAACGGCTGAGAGCTGCACTGCCCGAGCTGGGGGGCAGCGGGGGCACGGGGCGTTTGGAGTGGGAAATGAAAGAGCTGGGGTGGAAGGAGGGATGTTCCCAGGCTCCAGAGCTTGAGAATCCCTACTGTGAGGCTGCTGGAGTAGCCCTGGGCACTGTTGGCCCAGCCTGAAACACAGTTTCCAAATGATTTCTGGATGTGGTTTGGAAGTTAACACAAATCAAGGGCCTGGGGACAGTAGGTAATTTGCTTGCAGTGATGGTGTTTAGGTGGGTGAGAGTTTACTGGTAGAGACCAGAAACCAATCCCAGTTGCATTTAATTTGTGCAGATAAAGGCAGCAGGGCTAGGTATTGTTCTGTGTCTGCTGCTGCTACTGTGTATACTATACCAGTATCAAAACCTAATAGTTTTGGGGGTTTTTTCATGCCTTTTACTCAATATGACTGTTAAAGTATTATTGGTGAAATCTGAAGTTAATTCTTTTCTTCGTGTTTAAAATTGATTGGAGTTCAGGTATAGCACTATGTTTGAAAAATGATGATAAAGTCCTGTCTGAATGACCTTGCCTGAAAATGAGACAATGTGATAGTATTCCTGTTTTTTCTGAGTCCATGTAGGTACTAAATATAAATATTTTCATTCTGTTAGTAGTGTAACAGAGGTAAACTTGATACTATTTCACTCATCCTGTATTTCTTGTAAACAGAACGTGTATGTTTTGAATTCCTTGAACTTGAAAGTTCTGCTGTGTGAGCAGTGTCTAGAAATATGTAAGTTGTGTCATAAAAATAGTAAGAGTAACAGAATGATGTCTTCAGGTATCTCATGATCCTCCTTCTGTGACAATAAAATTTTACAGAGTCCTGTCACAGCTGTAGTTTTGTGAGGAAGATTCTGGGAAAAGGTGGTCTAGAATCTGCAAAAACTTCTAAGGTTCTCCTCTATGGAAATATGGAGCTTGTATTAAATTTATTTTTAAAAGAAAATATTCATTACCAAATTGTTCCTGAGACTTAGCAGCTGGTGTTATATGAAATTGTATTTTGTAGGGAAGAGAGAAAAGAAAGGATTAGGACATTGTGGTTACTTGACTATTAAATGACCAGGCACATGGGGCCAGTTTAGAGTACTTGTTCAGAGGTAGTTATTTACATACACACAGAGGGGGGTTGTTAAACAAATGCTGTGTCTGTAATTCAGATGGTGATTCTACCTGAAGAAACCAAGCAGCCACCAAATAAGTGAAGCTCCGAGGGCTCTCTTTCTAACTTACTTAGCGTTCTTCAAAAGTTAATTTCAACAGCCAGTGTTTATGCTACAAGTATTTGAGACATCTGAAAGGGCATGGTGCTGGAGAGTGAAGAACTACTGTGCTTACAGCAGCACGCCAGCTTTGCTTTGCTTTTGTTTTTTTGTCAGTGCTCATAACAAGATAAAAGTAATTTTGGAATATTGATGGGGGGTAGAGGGGAAAGTTGTTGTCTTTGATCAGAAAAAGGGAAACTGAAGCTTTCCTATGAGCAGGGACAACTCAAACTTAGTGGGTCACTTTCCTTTTTGGACTGGGCAGAAGCTTTTTTTCCTTTTTTTCTTCACCCTACAACTTTGAGAACATTCAAATTTGAATTCATACTCTATCGTTTAACTTATTTTCTACCTTTTGCAAAAAGACTTGAAACTTTTGTGTTTAATGCTGTAGCTATTTTCTTGCACTGTGGAACTGCCAGTCCCAATTTCCACCACTTCATCAGCTTACAGAATTTGCTAGGTATGAGGGTAGTCATGCTTGGAGCTGCTGGAGTTCAGATTCTGGTGGTTTCAGCCAATAATTGTATTAAACAGCCAAAGCTGCTGCAGTGGATCTTTTTTTTTTTTTTTTTTTTCCCCCTCCTCCTATTTAAATAGCGTCTTCATTCTCATTTTCTTTCTGAAAGAACTACAGCTTTGTACAATAAAATGCAGCATTTTTCTAACTTAGAAAAAGACCAAAACCCAAACCCCAACTAACTTCCCTGAATGCCTTCCCTAAATCCACAATAAAGTGCTCACTCGTCCCCTGATCAGGTATCTGGTGAATTTCTTTTCTGTTTTAATTTTTCCCAGCATTGTTTTTTTCCGGCACAGGGCAGTGGGGAAGAACTCAAACCTTGAACCATTGTCAGAAAGTTTGTGTTACTGTCGGTCTTTATAAAACAATTAGTGGATAAAGGTTTTTCTCTTTCTCATTTCACCATCACCCACCAGAAAAGAAGGACCTGTGCAAACTCTGATCACGTACTTGACATCTGCATTATAAACATCCAGATTCCTTTTTACCCCTACTGAAATAGTTTACCTTTTTCCTATTTGTTGATCTTAAATGCTTGGTTTCTTCTCCCTTCCATCCTTTGCTCCCCTCTTCCTCCCAAGTCGTCTATTTCTCGTCCATGTGTGGACTTTCCAGTTGTACGTGTGACACACAAGGTAGAGCTGAGTGACACTCACACACATGCTTCATCCACAGCTGAGCTGTCTTGTTTGTAACACCGATTCTGTTTTCTGTTCTCTAGAATGTTATGGAACAGTTCAATCCAGGACTGAGGAATTTGATAAATCTGGGGAAGAATTATGAAAAAGCTGTTAATGGTAAGTGTTCTGGGTGCTAACTTTAGAAAGAATATTTCATTTTCATTTAAATATACATATTGGGTATGAGGGTTGTGTACAAGCTTAATTTCAAAGTTGAACTTTGGATGTGTTTAATTGGGGGGTGGGGGGAGGCAAACCAAACAAAAAAGTGCTAACACCCAAATGTATGTACTTTCTCCCCTTTTGTGTGTTTTTGGGTGGTTTTGTTTGTTTTTGACTGTCCTGCATAAGTTGCATTGCAGCCACTCATAAACAGAGTGGCAAGATAAACTGAACATAAATTGTAAATAATCCACATTAGAATAGTAATGTAAATAGGAAAAAAAACCCAGTTATGTAAATTAGGTGTTCTCTTTTTGCCCCGGCACTATCTTCCAAGGAGATTTTGGGTTCTTAGATCTGTTGGATCTGTTCTGCTCACCCCTACACATCACTACCCGCATCACCCTGCCAACAGAACTGCTTGCATGAGTGCAGGAGTGCAATAATACTTTTTTTTTCTTATCCATACTAAACCTGATGGTATCTTTTTAATGGAGTCAAAATTGGAATGACTAAATCTGAATCTAAGGATTCAAAGATCTCAAACTTTTTAAAATGTGGTTGGTTGCTTCCATGCTGGACTTCACAGGACTCTCGGAGACTGGGCTCCAGTTCCCAAAGGGTATGTGGCAGGACCTGTTAGAGCCTGCTCCATCTCACCTCCACAGACCTGCTGAGCTGCTTGATACCATATTAAAGCAATGTAAAATCCCTCTCATTTTGCCTCCTTCAAGTCTGTGGCATATCTTTCCCCTGCATGTAATCGAGTCCTCTGAGAAATGGGATACTGCAGAGGCAGTGCATAGCCAAATAGACCTTGAAATCTCTCTTCATGCAAATTTTAGACCGGGCCTGAGAAAAAAGATAAACCCAAGGCCTGCTTGAGATTAAAATAAGGAAATGTTGATTTATTTGCAGCAGTAATGCCTAACCTGATGGATTAACACTGTGGTTACCTAGTACCTGACCTTAGGGATTATAGGTAGTACCAGAAGTAATAGCACGTTTTCATGCTTGGCTGAAAGATTTTTATACCGGTTTCTGAGGGTTCTGCTTTTCACGTACTTTACTGTTGATACGTTACATTGTGCCTCTTCTCTTTTAATTCAATTTGTCGTCAGTAACTCACAATATAACTGTGCACAGCAACACTGGAGAGGCCGAGAGGTATTGTGTTCGAGCTAGTTTGCCTTTGAAGAGTGGCTGATAAAGTGTGTCTAGTGTGAATGCTTAATTTCAAATGAATAAATGTTTACAGTCTTGCAACAACTGTTGAGAAACTACATTAAAATCATATTTGGGCTCTCATAAATTGTTAATCTTTTCTCCATAAGTTCTGAGAGGTATAAATAGATCTATAAAAGGAGTAAATACTCCGTGACTAAACAAATCCTTTGCAGCTTTCCAAACAAGTCAGAGCAGGCTGACAAAGAACATAAAACTTACAAGAACTTCTGATAGATTTATAATGTATTTGTATACTTTTTGAGGATAAAAGGTCAGAACTCCTTTTCTGCAGAAGCAGTTTACTAGCTATAGTGCTGGTGAAGAGACTGTATGAGTGAAGATCCTGCTGTAGCTTGAGTAGCGCAGGAGAAATAACAAGTTTTCTTCCTTTTTTTTAGTGCCTGTATTAGGATAAAAGATTGAGTCGGGGCCATCTGGGGAAAACGTTGGTGTTGGAATGGCATAAAATGTTTGTGTGCGGGTGCTCCAGGGGCAGCACCAGGAGAATTGATTGCGCTGTTGAGAAGGTTTGAGTGTCCAGCAGCCATGAGACCCAGCTTAGACAGAAATTACTCTTCTCTAGTGCAGCACAGCCTCAGGAAGAACCTTTGTTTCATTTGGAGGAGTTTCAGGCTTCTCAGTGAACACAGTGTTAGGTAACCAAAGATGTCACCTTTGCTAGTAAAAACTATAAAATACAGACATAAAATATGGTAATTGGCAGTTATATTCCTCTCAGAAAAAAACTATTCTAAAGGCAATGGGGCGAGTCTGCTTGGCTTCTGCATCAGGTTAAAAATGTACTACTTAAAAAACTATGAAGACTTACTTCAAAAAGTATTTTTCACTGCCCTTAGCAACAAAAACTTGCCACTTTGTCCCTTTTTCTTTTCTTTGAGGGTGCAGGTCAGTTCTAGGTGCTGTGAAGACTTGAGGCAGCCACTGCATGGTGGGTGTGGATCGACTACAGGCATCATTTTTTTGTCACTGCTGGCTCCCCCCGGTCTGAATCTTGACTTTTCCGTGTTCATTCCAGGAAAAATGGCTTTGCTCTTTAAATCAGCTCTAACTAGGAAATGATTAACTGAGAATAACTGAAACCTCAGTGATGTATTTTAAGATTTTATTGGTTCCTGTAAGACTGGAATTTTGACTAGAAATCGTATCTGTCATTGCAGAGTATGGTGGCTGTAGAGTGTTATCCATAAGGGTAACTGTGTCCTGAGCAGTGGCTTACAGCTCAGCCTGCCCGCTGGGGGCCAATTGCTCTCAGATACGCAGGAAAGTTGGACCTAAATCACAGACAGAGACTTCACTCATTCTCTGGTGTCCTCTCTTTGTCACCAGGTTCACAAAGCGGCAGGTGGCACAGAGACTTGTGTCAGTTTCCTTATTGCCGTGTACTCCCACTGTGTGCCCTGAATTACAAAATTTCACAGGATCATAGATTAATGAAAATGGAAAATACTTTGGGGGCTTTTTTAACACTTATTTTCTCTTCTCCTCCTTCCCCCAAGCTATGGTAGTGGCTGGAAGAGCATATTATGATAGCCTTGCAAAGATTGGGGATATATCAGCTGATTCACCAGTTTCTAAAGAATTAGGTAAGTGAAATCTTTTTTTTTTTAAATTCCTTCAAAATATAAATTTTATGTTTATTTCCTGCTGGCAGTTTTCAGTACTAATATGAAGTAGAGAAGAATTGTGAAAAGTGTGTTTTACCCTTAAGTAACGCATAGATGGAAGGGATTAGATTCCCTTAAGGTTAATTATTTCTTAAGATGCTTATAATGTTTTGAAAAAATCACTTTTTTTTTCTACTTTTGTGAATATATTTCTGCCTGTGTATTCAAAAGCATGTGTTTTTTTTAAGTTCACGTAATTTTATAATAAATAAACATGAAAAATATGTAGCTTGAGTTTTAGTACAGAAATAAATGCTGAAATATACCTGCAACAGAATATCAGTATGAGGAGTCCTGGTGTTCGACAGCAATTCTAAACTAAAACAAGTTTCTGGGTGAGTTCCATTGTGAAGAGTTTAGCTCTACTTCACTATTTTTGAAGTATATAACTAAAAGTTCTCAGCTGCATTATCTTTATTTTCTAGTTGAGTTTTTGAAAGAGAAGCTGTAGAGTCAAAGATGCAGTACACTTAGATTAATGTAAAAATAACCCAAGTTCTGTCCTTTCCTGAAAATAATTTCTGAATTTCTGGAAGCCCATCGCCAGCCCTGGGCTCTGCTTTGGCTGACGTTGAAATGACACCGCTCAGTCTACAACAGCCAACTTGCCATCCCGGGTTCTGTAACCTTTCTGACAAAGATTCTAACAGCACTACAAAAAAAGGAAGTGGGAACTATACTGTAAAAGAGGAAACATTTGTTTAAAATCTTCATTTGCTTTTTTGACAAAAATAACTTTTTATAAAGTGTCTGTCTCTGAGCTTTTGGTTATGGGCAATGGAGGACTCTTTCGGTGACTTAATGTGCGTTTGCTCCTGTAACTCAGTGCGTTAATTCTGCTGATTAGAAAGGATGGGTTCAGTAAATGTGTTCTTAACGATTCTGCCGAAGCAGAATGGAGGAGGAGGCCTCCTGAGGGGTGTCTGTGGGTTTCCACCTTCCCGGAGCGTGTTGTGCCGTGCGGGAGCGCTCCCGCCGGGCAGAGGGCTGGGAGCGGCGGGACAGCAAACAGTGCTCAGGCAGGCTGTGTTTGCTCTGCTGCCCGCGCCACACCGGGCACAGCACTCCCAGACAGTCACAATAATGGCCGTGCAGAGTCCTGTAAACATATCAACAGATGCACAATTAAAACTTCTGCAGTCAAACGGTTGGTCGAATGCATGGAAGTAATCTGTTTATTGAACTTCATATGACTGTGGGATATTGTCTCCTTGTTTGCAAGTGTTGTCATTGGGGAGTCTCGAGCTGAATTCCAAGAGTGACTTTTCCCCTCTTTTTGGGGACAATACAGAATTATGATTGAAAATATATTTTTTTGTTTAACTAAGAATTCTGTTACTGCAGAAAAACTTTGCAAGTGCTGTCATTGGGTAGTCTCGAGCTGAATTCCAAGAGTAACTTTTCCCTTGTTTTTGGGGACAATACAGAATTATGATTGAAAATATATTTTTTTGTTTAACTAAGAATTCTGTTACTGCAGAAAAACCTTTTCTTCTTAAGCAAAACAGCAAGTCTGAATTTCTTCCAGCACACTCTCTGATAGAATACTAAAGTTAGAGATAACGAAAGCCAGTGAACATTGGAAAAGGCAGGATAATGTGGTTTGGAGTCTGAGAGACATCATTTGCATTTTCTTGAGAAAGTCTTAACAGTTTTGAAGCTGGGCTACAATACTGAGCTATTTAGCAAAGAAACATTATATGCCCCAGATGTCTCTAGAAGTATCTTTGCTTAAAAAGCAAATAAAGAATTTACTGCACCTTTTAGTATTTTTAAAACATTGAAATGCATGCTGAGCAGTATTGGATGCGTAAGGAATCGATGGAGCTTTGCTGTCATCTGCTCCTTTGTGGTCCTGTTAACCCCAGTGGAGTTACCGCAGGCTCAGCCCCTGCCGAATTCTCCTCTGTGAGCTCCTTCAGACTTGCCAAAGAACATGTCATTGGCCACTAACAGCTCTATCGTGCATAATACTGGTGTTATCTTTGCCAAAAAAGAGGTCAGTAGTCATCAGATAGTCTGTGATATGCCTGAGAACTGCTTTGCTGGATTGTATCTGGAGCACGGAGAGGGCTGGCACACTTGTTCCGAGAGCAGTGCTCTGAAGGGGACCGGCACAGACACAGAGAGGAGCAGCTTCCATCATCTTATGTGGGCCTTCATCTGTATCCAGCTCTGATGTTTGGAATGTTTCTGTGACTTTTTACTTTTTCCTTGTTTGAAAATGTATTTAAGGCCTCTTCCTGTATTCAGTATCAACTGAAATCAATAGCCACATTCCCACAGATACCAGTAGGAAATCATAATATTTTTAATATTTAAGACTATCCTGGGTTTTCCCAATGAATTGGATAAACCAACAATGATGGAGTGCTAAAGTGTTTTGGAGTGCTTTAATATTTGAGAGCTAATTGAAGTGCAGTGGTCTGCATTTCCAGTGTTTAGGTCTATGGACAACCAAAAAATGTTAATGTTTTTATTTGAGTAATAAAAAATCGAAACATCCAGAGTAAATATTTAAAGTAATACTTGAAACTAATCTGCTTAAAAACAAACAAGTTGTTCCCGCCCCCCTAGCCCTAACCCTTCTCAGTTTCACCACAATCAGGATGACTGACCTATGGATAGCAAGATTTTATAGAAGTCAGAAATCCACGGTGCTGTTTTTTTTACCTCATCCTGTCCTCTACAGCAGAAGTGAAGGGAAAGCATACCTGCTGATTAATTATCTTTGACTCATCTAAAGTGTAGGTGCCTTTGTGTTTCACATCAGCCACTAAGTAGTTTTTGGCTGTAAAAGGAGGTGTCAGAGGAAGGTTCCCCCTTTCTCCAATAATAAGCATAGCGAGCTGTAACTTTTGCAGATACAGTTCCTACTGAAATCAGTTTTCTGAATAATGAATAGGAAAATGAGGCAGGAACTGAGCTTTTAGGGCTTTTCTCTAGCAACTTCACCTTTAGTAGTGGCAGATGAAAAACAATGTATTATTCTAATTAAGTTGTGTTGTATTAAACTTTTTACACGTAATTATAAAAGCACTACAAGGCTCAAATGGCTAAAACACAATATTCTGTACAATTTCTGGAGAGTCTTTACTGAAATATTGCACTGAGTCATTTTAAAATTCAAACCCAAACCTGCTGGGTGACCTAGAGCGTATTTACTGCCAAGTGTGATGTAAAGATTTGTATCAAAAACACAGTCAGTCTTTCCTTCTCACAAGGAAACGCAGAACATGGTCTTCCTGTAAAATGGATATCAGCCCCCAGCAGGGCAGAAACAGAAATGGAAAAGAAATAGGGAAGGAAGTTTTAGAAGTAGAGAGTAAAATGCTTAGAGGGCAGGGAAGAAATGGAGCAAAAAGGCAAGTAAAAAACTCCAGAAAGTGCTTGCTTCTGTCGAATGAGATTGGAGCAGAAGAAGGTAACAAGAATGAAACTGAAGTCTGGATATTCCGGCTGATTCAGGGCTTTTGTAATAAGTACCTCTATCTTTCAAGTCTGGCTGAAGCTCTCTGAAATATTTTAATACGGAATAACTTAATATGAGTCAGTTGAGGAAGCAGAATAACACACTGCATTAAGAATGCAATCCCTATGAATAAGGAATAAGTTGATTTAGGTTAACATCCTTTCTCATTTTTTATTTCCCTAAATTTCTAAGCTTATAGTCCCTCAGACTTGGCTATGGGCATTTAGGAACATAACCTGAATTTCCATAGTTCAGGTTATTCTGCCATATGGAATTTGCATATCTTCCTTTCGTAGGCACCGTTTGGAAATCCCACTGGGAAGAAAAGATAGGAAACAAGAAACTGCACGTTTTAAAATGTTAAGATTTCATACTGTTCAAATCTCAGCATGCCACATCAGCACAATGAAACTTGGTGTTTCAGTAATGCACTAAACATAATTTCCCGTAGATACTATACCACTGATAGAGCATTGAAATAGTAACTTTCATGGTGTCTTGCTCATCTTGTCTTGCCCAAAATATGGGTCTATGAGGCTCTGTCTTACTGATTTTTAATGTTATGATGTTAATAAACTCTCTCTTCTAGTGACAGGCAGCCTTTGCAGCCCTCGCTTGCCCGAGGAACCAGGGAGTTCTTTCCTGCTCCCTCATCGACTGCTGCTTCTCGGATCTTCCCGCTCTCCAGCACCTGCAGTTACTGGAACTGCAGCTCAGTTATTATATTGGGTTGTAAATTCCAATTTGTCTGTTGTGTGGCAACGGTATCTACAGCAGTCACCCGCAATTTAGATTATGGGCCTGTACCTAGTGCTTGTTGCTCAAGAACTGTAAATGTAAACTATTCCTTGCTCGTCCAACTGGAAAAAGCCAAATTGCAACAATAATATTACGTTGCATGGTCTTGACCAGTGGAACTAAATTGCAGAAGTCCAGCAGGTTAAAAGGAGAATCAGAGGACACGAAATCTCTTCCCTACTCTAAGCAATACTGATACTTTATTTAAAGATTACTCTGTGTTCTAGGCTTTTAGGCGGTGTCCTCGCTTCTGCCTGTCTCTGTTCTGTGTTAGGAGCAGGCTCTGTTGGAGAGAAAGGCTTGCTTTGGGTGTGCTTTTCTTATTTTTTTTTATTATTTTTTTTTTGGACACTGCTAAGACTGGGAAACTCGATGGCAGTAAACTGCTCTAGTGAAAATTGCAGTGATTCCGTGCATTTTATTGAATATCACGTAACACTTATAACTTAAATATTTATCCTCTCTAGTACTGAATGCCCATAAAGAACTTCAGTTCTTGCTGTTCAGCATGATTTGTTTGTTCCAGTCCTGCTGAAACCCCTGGATTAGCTCAGCTGTGTGATCTCCCCGCAGCAGGGCTCCCCCCGGGCAAGCCCAGACCGGTGCCTGGGTCGTAGCTTGTCCCCTGCCGCTGCCCGGGTGGGGATTA